GCGGGTTGCTGACGACCCCTGGCCTAGGAAATCCTGGTTAAGCAGGGGGTTGGACTAGATGAACTGCAAGGTTCCTTCCAAGTCTGTTATTCTGTCTCTCAGCCCAAACACAGAGGACATCAAATGCCTGTTGGACTTGACAAGACAGGTAGTATTCCAAGTCATACACATTTTTGTTTGATTTGTCAGTCTTCAAAATATCATGTTCAAAGTAGCCCAATTTACATACTCTAGTTATTTTCGTATGGGGAAATCTACAGCTTTGATAAAATTATTTCACCAAGTTACTGGGAGAGAAATCTCAATTCACCACAGGCAACCAGACTGAGATTTAGCCTTTCCCCACCCCCCAGCACTACTTTTAACATTTTACTATTTTCTTGCCGTATAAATTTATGCATAGGTTGCAATTTATGCAACCTATCACAGGTCTTTTATTCTCTGTGCTCCAACATTGGGAAGCCATATTTCCATTAAAGGTAAAGGTTTCCCTCGCACATACGTGCTAGTCGTTCCCAACTCTAGGGGACGGTGCTCATCTCCGTTTCAAAGCTGAAGAGCCAGCGCTGTCTGAAGACGTCTCAGTGGTCATGTGGCCTGCATGACGAAACGCCGAATGAGCATGGAACACTGTTACCTTCCCACCAAAGGTGGTTCCTGTTTTTCTATTTGCATTTTTACATCCTTTCGAACCGCTAGGTTGGCAGAAGTTGGGACAAGTAACGAGATCTCATTCCGTTAGGAGGCACTAGGGATTCGAACTACCAAACTGCCGACCTTTCTGATTGACAAGCTCAGCGTCTTAGCCACTGAGCCACCGCATCCCTAATGCATTTGCATTGGCAGCCCCCAAATGTGTTTAGGTCCATCCCTCTCCCTTAAAGAAAAGAAGACCAACCTGGGATAATTCAGGCAGTGTCTTTTCCAACATGGGTGTCTGTGACAGAATTTTATCACATATTGACTGAATCACCTTCTGCTTGAAGACAGGCAGAGAGAAGGGACCTTTGTTGGGCAATTACTGCTTTCTTTCGCCACTGTAGGGAAAGTTATAGGAAGAAAACATAAAAGTAGAAATGAGTTCCATTTTAAGATACAAGGAGAAGAATCAGGCATACACCCAAGTTTCCCCAGAGTAGACTACATCACACAGTCAAACGAAAGGTTAGCTGTCCGGTTAAAGAAAACTTCATTTAAAGGAGAATATTTGTAGCTCAGGGTTGAAATGAGGAGTCCTTGGTGCTCTCTGCACTGATGATGTTGCCTAGTTGGGTAATGAAACTTCTGAAAGAAAACAGCCCAAGTCAGAGAGCACCAAGGAACTCTCAAATCTTCATTTATCCCACAGATTTTCATCTATTGTCTGCATTCAAGTAACAAAGAAATTGCTTGAAATTGGTATGGGAGAAGGTTTCTTTTGTTTTTATAAAATATTGTGCTATGTGCCATCTCACCATTCTTCATCCATGGGACTCAGACATTTCATATTTTCTCCTAATACAGGGGTCTCAGCAACTTTAAATGCTCAAAGAGCCCTTTGGACCCGTTTCCCACAGAAAAGAAAACACCAGGAGCCACAAAGTTCTTAACCGGAAGCCCCCCGTTCAATTCTGGAGCCGATCGGAAGTCCAGTTTCCCCCACCATTAGAGTCTCCTCTTAGTGTGGCATCCTTTTTTCCTCTACCTGTCCTAACTGAAAATCCTATCAATTGTGGAACCGACTAGAAAACCTGACCCTTGTCATAGAGCAGTGATGGCGAACCTATGGCACGCGTGCCACAGGTGGCATGCGGAGCCATTTGTCAGGGAACGCAAGGTGCTGCCCTGTCAGCTGGCCAGTGGACATGTGCGCACTGGCCAGCTGACAGGGCAGCACCTTGCGTTCCCTGACA